CCCCCAAAACCCCAAAACCCCAAAACCCCTACTTTAAATTTATTTATTGAATTTTCTTGAATTTTTAATTATGAAATACCGTCATTAAACATGAAAGAGATTTTTGAAAGTATTCTGGGGCTGTTTTCCTTTAATCTCCTTCTTCTTGTTCCATCCGATTGCTATATCTGCTACTTTATCCTTTCCAGTTTTATTTTTAGGAAATTTCTGTTGACAAAAGAACTCGATCTGGCTGTTCGTCCCATTCTTGGCCATTTGTAGCTATTGTTGTTAACTTTTGAAGCCTACTCTCATTCTACGTCTTGAATTATTTAGAAGTAGAAACTCCTTTTCTATCCTCCTGTATTTTCCTATTGGAGAAAAAGTTGTTGGTAGTCTTGGGTCTGATGATTTGATCACGAATGTTGTCCCGATATCCATACTTTAACTGTCTATTTCTCTTATTCACAAACATGGCTTGTTGTTTGAGGTCGATATACTGGGAAAGTTTCTCCTTCATTTCTTTTACCTAAAGCGCGATCAAACCCATAAATGTCAAAAGCGATACCTCATTTCTTCTATCTTTGGGGGTCATTAAAAAATTCTTCTGGTTCTGAGTAAACGGAATGGTGTTATTATACATATCTCCTAAAGCTTTTTGTATTTTGCTTTTCTCAGTTACAGCTATGTTTCTCTGAGTCTTTTCAGAATCAAAATGAGCTATTTCACTTTCAACCCTGTCTGGGTCTACCATTGGCTTCTTTATGCTGGTATAGTAATTAGCACTCTCCCCGGTGAGATATGAGGTGGTGTATCTTGGCACAGAAAGAAATGTTGAACTTGGTCTGATGTTGGTCATAAAATCAACTCCAAGATTTTTGCTGCCTATGATATAAACTTCTTGACTTACTTCTATTTCTCTGCTGAGAAAGCTCTCTGCTGAACTTGCTTCTGGTAAAAAGCATTGATGTATCTGGTTGAGATCTGACGCTCCGTAGCTCAGGAGCTGGAGTTTTGGCAACTTTAGGGTAGTTTCCCAATTGAGAAGGCATTCCTCCAGCAGTAATAAACTGATGTAAGTGGTTTACATCAAATGTACATCCTCTTAAGGTAAGATTAGGAGTGTTATTAAACAATTCTTTCTTAATTTTTAACCCTTTCTCGTTATTCAGGACTTTCATCACAGATTTATTTCAATTATAATTATATTTTCTGGGGTTTTGGGGTTTTGGGGTTTTGGGGTTTTGGGGTTTTGGGGTTTTGGGG